AATATTATTAAAAGAGAAAACTTATGACATCATCTTAAATAATCTGGACCATTGATTGCATATTTCAATATTATTTTTTCCACCCTTAGATCAAATTGATGACATCATCTTCCCCATATGGAATGTATTTAATTCCAATAAATCTTTTCCAATCGTCAAACAATAACTTACATTCGTTGAAATGGAATGTATTTGATATGGGCTTATTTAGTTATAAAAATCATGCATGATCTTAATACTTTATGTTAATTTTATCTCAAAAAATGAACCAAAGGTGCTTAATTAGCTTAAATATTTAATTTTCAGCAACAAATACATGCTTGAAAGGAAAAGGAAACGGATTTAGCAATTGGAAGCTTGGATCTTGGATTTTGAAGAAAGAAGGATGTTGCTGGACAGCTTGACCCCTCGTCAGTGTTTTGGCCATATCTCATGAACCGTAACTCCGATTGACGAGATTCAAAATGTTCTGAAAACTAGACACAATTGCGGACGACTTTCATGTTTTGGGAAAATATTGGTTCCAAATGGACTCGACGAGTAGGCCATCAACTCGACGAGTTGGTCAGAAGTTTCGCGATTCTTGACTTTGCCTTGCCGTACACCGGATTTTAAGTGATGGACTCGTCGAGTAGGTCACTGGACTCGCCGAGTCGCCCCTATTTTCAAAAAATATATATATAGAAACGATTCTCATTCGAACCCTAACGAATGGGGGAACCCTTGGGGGTTAATTTGCGACTGGAGGTACAGCTAGAAGCCCTGGAACTCGTGGAACAATCCTAGCTTTCAATTTTGAGAAGGATAAAAGGCAATTTAGGTTTACTCTTTACTTAATCTTTTGTTTGAACTATGTGTAAACTATTAGATTTCGTTTTTGATAAACTTTCTGCTGTAATCATGAGCTAAAACTCATATCTTCTGTTTAGGGTAGATGAATTTATGACTATGTGTTGATTTTTGTGGTTTGATTAATTGAAATTGGTGAATTTGTTTTGTTAAGCTTGTTAAAGATCCTCATGTGTTAACAACAACTATTTTATGTTAATTAGCTAAGTAATTAAGCTGCATGAACATCTCTTAACTGCTTATCTCATGTGATTTATGTGAACACATTGTTATGTGCCTAGGAATAATGAATGTGAAACTAGGGTTAACTAGAAAATAGGTAAATTAATGTGTGAGCCTTGTGTGACGAACCATCAACAAGAGGTTAATTGAATTAGTAATTTGATTAGCTAATTACAAGTCTTACTTAACCCGAATCAATAATCTAGGAAACTCATTAGTTTAACAAATTGGCCAATGTTTGAATTAATTTGTTTTCTAAGGATTAGTAATAGCGAACGTGAACCTAATCACACTAATCGGTAGCCAATAACGAATAATCCATTGCACTTACCATAAAATCAACCATAGGAGTAAATGAGTCGAACCTAAATAGAAGTCTTCTCCATTATTGAATTTAGTGATTGTTTATTTGCTTTAGCTGTTAGTTGCTTAGTTTGAGTTTTATTTCATTGTTAAGTTTCTAGTCTTGCAAAACTAGAGAAACCCCCTTTTCTATTACTTGTTTTATTTAGATAATATTAGCATTTATTTTAATTGTTTACCGTTCCCTGTGTTCGATACCCTACTTGCTTGAACTATATTACTAATCGATAGGTACACTGCCTTTCGTGTGTTTATTTTGTGTCTAAGTTAGTAGGATTAAAACTAGTTCGTTTCACACACATCAATATTTAATTCCAATAAAAGCTTTCCATATTTTAAATCTTGAATTTCCGGTTATGAAGATTTTAATATGGTCAATTTTAAAAGCATATTACTAACAAACCATTTCAATCAAGGCATTAATATCAACCAATAATATAAATCTGTTTATATTAGTAAACCATTAATATAAAATCTATTTTTATTAGGAAATCATTAATATCAAAAAATCATATTCAAATTATCACATACATATACGATTCATCATTGAATCCGCGGCTCACACTTATTTTCAATCGTTTATTTTCTTCAAACCTTCTCCTACAACATCATTCTTATTGCTTATAACTTTCATCATCATTCTCTGCTTCAAACATTCGCTCTTGTGCACTAGAAGGTTAGTACCTTCTTTTGCTTTTTATATTTTTTCCGATTATTTTTTGTTCATATATCAAATATATGTATTCATATATTTCTATTTTCTTTGTCACAAATTACATGAAACCAGTTAACTACTTCTCTGAAACTTTTCAAATAAACAGGAAAATATAACGTACCTTTAACAAAATAGAATTTAACTATCTTGGGAACTGACATTAATTACGAATATGTTAATTTTATATATTAGAGATGATTATGGTTTTTTTTATAATTTTATGTCATAAGAATCCGATTAATTTTGGCATGATTTTAAAATATCTTTGAAATTATTATGTTTTTGTATATCATACCAACCTACTTTTTTTATCTTTATATAGTAACAATAAAATTTATAAATTTACACAACAAATATACATATTTCGAATTTTGTAATATTATTATACCTTACAAAATATAACTCCCTCCAAAATAATTTTCGCCAGTATCTTCATCCATACTTTCACCAAATTTAAATTTGTATTTTCTTTATATAAAATTTTTTAATGATCCTGATTTTTTTCCTCCAAAAGTATATCAAGCATTTACGTCTTAGATAATGCTGCCCCATTACAATTATTACTTTCCAAAAATATATACGTTTAATGAGGAATTTGATTTAATGAATGAAGTAAATGTTAATTAAAACGAGATATATATATATCATAATTATTACACGAGTTTATTAAAAAAAATTAATATCAATGTGTAAACATTAAGCATTTTTAAAGTAAAATTTCAGAATACATACAAACGATGATGTTTTACAATGAAATATAAAATTGAATAGACTGAAAAAAAAACTATTAAGACAGTCAATCTTGAAAATAACATAGTTATGAAAAATTATAAAGTAAGATAAAAATTATAAGATATTAAGAGATTTGTAAAAAGTACAATTAGTAAAAGTGTTACGGTTATTTTAAAAAATAAGACTGTTAAGATTAGTAAAAATACAATATATAAACTAAATTATCACAATAGTAATGAAATGTCATTATTTGATATTTCATATAATTGAAAGATATACCAAATTACATTGATGATATACTAAAATTATTCCAAGTTGCGCCAAAACTAATGCAAAGTTTTTGCGAATACCAAATAAATAAGAACAAACATAAAAGCTAGCACTTATATTCATAATCAATTTAAAATAAGCCAATCATGATTTAGAAAAGAATCTCCATTTTATGATATACTAAAATTAAATTCATATAACATTTAACATTCTATAAATTATACTATACGACTTTATTTGAATAAATGAAATAGTTGTCAATATTTAATGCAATGGAAAAAACGGTATATTGGTTGTCAATATATGTTTAAATTAGGTAACCTTATTATGGAAGGAACGTCTAATTAAAATGTTTATAATTATATAACAATATCATAACTATATGAGATGAGGAAGGTCGTTCAACTAATAAAAAAAATGTTGTCTACAAAAAGATCCTTCAATGATTATAGATATTTATCGTTTTCAATGTATTTTCTACACATTTCAATAATATCAATAACCATATATTCTTTTTATAATCATTATGCAATATCTGTAGACAATTATATGTTTTTTTTTATGCGTTCTCCGCGTTTAACGCGGACTATAATCTAGTTATATATAAGTCTCTAATTTTATTTTTCTAATAACTTTTTTGAGAAACCATGTTTAAATGCATTGGTTCTTTGAAAAACACATATACAATAATAATAATGAAACCTTCGAGAAAAATGTTTTTTATACTTTTGTTTCCATATAGTCTCATATTATTTCAGATACTTAGTCATTATATGTTTTTATGTCGATAATGTTTCTTATTTACTTTGAATCATGGTTGCAGAAATCGGGATTAATCGGCGATTAATCGTGGATTAATCGTTTGACGTTCTCCAACCGTCGATGATTAGACTATTAATCGGAAATTTAGGATTAATCGGGTTTGACGGGATTAATCGGTTTTGGCGGAATTAATCGGTCAACAAAAGTCAACAAAAGTCAAAAAATTCGAAAAAAGTCCAAAAAAAGTCAAAAGAAAATTTTAAAAAAATTCAAAAAAATCAACTTTTGTTTTTACTCTAAAATTTTCAAATTTTCAAAATTTCAAATATTATATCAAAATGTTCATATTTTCGTATTTTCAAAATTTCAAATTTCAAATTTTCTTATTTTCTAATTTTAAAGTACTTGTTTTTCTTAAGATATATTAATATTTGATTAATTTTAATATTTTATTAATAATCTATGGTCTCCGATTAATCCCTTAACACCGGTCGACCGTCGAGCTACCGTCGAACGATTTTTACAACCTTGCTTTGAATACTACCTAAGAGATACTAATATCTTTTATTTGAATTCTGTTTCTTTCAATTTGCTCTGTAGAATTTTTTTCAAGCGGATCACACTTAATCATTGACATAACACAATTCTATAATAATGTATTATAGATACGTTTGGTTGATGGATAATTTTATTGTTTTATTTCTAAATAAAACCGAAAATTTTGAAAATTCTAAGAGAAGTGAAATTTTTGAACACATGCTACGTTTTATATTTTTTTTTTTATATTTTTTTTCAAGTATAAAGATTTTTTCAAAAGTTTAAATTATAACCGACTTTGAAAACTGATAATTGTTAGGGACCTTTCGAGTTAAAAAAATAAGTTAGTGACCAAACGCGCAAATTACCCTAAACCATAGGGACCATTCGTGTAATTTACTCTAATTACTAATTAAATAGATAATCCTCATTATAATTAATCAAATTTTTTTTTAGATAACCCAATAACCAAAAAAAAATTGAATATTTATGTTAAAACTTGTATATGATAAAAGTTAACTTCACATATAATTACTTTTTTAAGAAAAATGACAACACAAGAGCAATATCTCGCGCCCACTTGTGTAGGTAGCTTCTTCTCCCTCCCAAAACCCCTAAGCCCCAACCCCAACCTCCGACACCCTTTTCCGCCATTGAAGGCTTGAAGCTCCTTAAGCCCCAAACGCCGCAATGAACGCTACCTCTGCTCCTACTTAATCAAAGTCGTAGCTCCGAGAGATGCTTCTTAGGCATCGCACCTCTCTCCGTGGTCTCTTCGTCTCCAACTCCCCCTGTCCCATTATGACCTCCAAGCACTTCCTCAACTTCAAACCCACAACCTCTTCATTCAATTATCCCGACACCAAAACAAACCTCTACCCTGCTCACAAATTCATTTCCTCTACTTTTCCCTCAAAATCTTCCCCCAAATTGGTTCCTTTATCCCTTAAACCATCTAACTTATCCTTTTCTTCCCACGCCAGTATCCCTAGACCAGGTAATTTCATCAATCATCATTCAGTTCGAAACACCCTGCTTTTATCTCTCTGTTTATCAGTAAATTAACTCTATATCTGTTTCTCGATTGTGTTGAAATTGTTGTTAGAAGCCTATGTTTCGTATCGTGTCAGTTGAAGAATTTCTCTTTTGGATAATTGATAGTAATGGTATTGTTGTTTTTTCCTTTTGATATAGTTTCTGAAGCATATTTGGAGAAGGCTGATGATGAAATAATAATCGATACTCCACAGCTAAAGGCACTTGAAGTGAAATTGAAGGAGATTGGAATAGTCTCTGAATCTTTTGGTCCTGGACAGAAAAATGGCTTGATTTGCCCCATGGTATGCATACATATTGCTTAGATTATAGTTTTTCATTCATTCCATTATGAAATTTTCAAAAGAATCAATGTGATTGAAGATTACACAAATAAAAAATCGGTTACTTTGTAGTTTTCATTCCATTCTAAATGCATCTTTCTACTCAATAGTGCAAAGGTGGTGACTCAGGGGAGAAGAAACTCTCTCTCTTCATTTCTGATGATGGGTAAGTAAATTGCCTCATATTTTTAAAACCAATATTCTTTTTTAAAATTCTGACATGGATTTTTATAAAATATTTTAGTAATTCAGCTGTGTGGACTTGTTTTCGAGCCAAATGTGGATGGAAAGGGAGCACACGAGTAAATATTCTCATTTTTCACTACTTTTTTTCTTCATTTAACTGTTATATTGACCTAATATTTCTCTTTATTCTTTAATTTCAGGCTTTTGCAGATGTTAAATCAAGTTACAAGAGGATGAATGCACTCCCCAAAGTGAAAAAGATTAAGGAACTCTCAGAACATGAATTGAATTTGGAACCTTTGTGCAAAGATGTAGAAATCTTCTCTCCTATTCACTTTTCTTTTTTACTTACAGAAGGGTAAAATGGTCATTTACTCATTTACTCACATTCAGACAGTTGATATTATATGATTATATCTTGTATTTGTGAATCAGTTACTTGAATATTTTTCTGAAAGAATGATATCTGAAGAGACATTACGGAGAAATCATGTCATGCAAAGAAGATATGAAAAACAGGTAGAAAGAAGTTACTTATTTACAAAACTACCCCTCTTCTCCATGTACTCTTTGTTAACTTTTTTTCAATTGTGTATGCAGATTGTTATTGCATTTACTTATAGAAGAAAAAAAGAACTTGTTAGTTGCAAATACAGAGATATCTCAAAGAAATTCTGGCAGGTGAAAATCTGTATATCAAAACTTACTATTTATGGTAAAAATCGGTTGACTAAAGTCAAAATTGACATTTTTACCCTTTTAGGAAAGTGATACTGAAAAGATATTATATGGACTTGATGATATAGAAGGAGCAAGTGATATCATCATAGTAAGTTTTCACTTTTCATCTTGAAATACATAATCTTTTTGGTGTTTCTAATTTTGATTCATCAAAATATTATATTTATATTTTTTTTTATAAAAGGTGGAGGGCGAAATGGACAAACTTGCAATGGAAGAAGCTGGTTTTAGAAACTGTGTGAGTGTTCCTGATGGAGCTCCTCCAAAAGCTTCCTCTAAAGATTTACCTTCTCAAGAACAGGTTTAAAGTTTTATTCAAATTTTAATTCCATCATTTTTTTTGTGTTAATCTCATAAAAGACCTTATATTTTGTGTTTTTTCTGGATTAAGTTAAACCTCCCCTTTATTTTTTGCAAGAAAAAGACCCTGCATTTTTTCATTTTTTCCCGAAAAACCCTCAACTTTGTCTTCTTTTTTTTTTCCAAAAAAACCCTCAATCTTTTAACTTTTTGTGAAAAAACCTCAATTTTTTTACCTTTTCTGAAAAAACCCTCACATTTTACAAGCTTTTTTGGAAAAAAGAATGACTAAAAGGGTCAGACCGAAAAAAATGAAAAAATGCAAGGTCTTTTTCAGACAAAAAATAAAGTTGAGGTTTAATCTGGAAAAAACACAAAATATAAGGTTTTTTTATGAGATTAACCCTAATTCCATCATTTTGTGTACTTTAGTGTTAATCTTTTTGTATTTTATATTTTTATGAATGTAGGATGTGAAATACCAATATTTATGGAACTGCAAAGAGTATTTGGAAAAGGTATAGTTAACTACTTTCTATCTTTTTGTTTTTGTTTTTGTTTTTTATTATATGTGTAATAAGTTTTATAAAATTTGTATTATTTTTTTTTATAAATTGCAGGCTTCTCGTATAATACTTGCTACTGATGCAGATCAACCTGGGCAAGCCTTAGCTGAAGAACTTGCACGTCGCCTTGGAAGAGAAAGGTCGATATCGCCCTTGTTTTTTTTTTTTTTGAGGAAGGGTTAATCTTATAAAAGATCTTATATTTTGTGTTTTTTCTGGATTAAATCTCAAATTTATTTTTTGCCTGAAAAAGACCTTTTATTTTTTTTTTTCATTTTTTCCGATTTGGCCCTTTTAGTCGTTTTTTTTTCCAAATTTTTTTGTAAAATGTGAGGGTTTTTCGAGAAAAACTAAAAAAGTTGAGGGTTCATTTGAAGCATTTAGAAGGTTCAGGGGTTTTTTTCGGAAAAAAATACAAAGTTTGAGGGCTTTTTTGGAAAAAATGAAAAAGTACAAGGTCTTTTTCAGGTAAAAATAAATAAATTTGAGGTTTGATCCGGAAAAAAGACAAAATATAAGGTCATATATGAGATTAACCCTTTCTTAAAAAGGACCTCATATTTTTTCATTTATTCGATCTGGTCCTTTTAGTCTTTTTTTTTTCTGAAAAAACTTATAAAATGTGAGGATTTTTTTATGAAAAAACTAAAAAAGTTGAAGTTTTTTTCAGAAACAGTTAGAAGGCTGAGGGGTTTTTTCGGAAAAAAAAAGAAGTTGAGGTTTTAATTTTATGACTAATCCAGAAAAAACCCAAAATATAATATTTTTATGAGATTAACTCTTTTTTTAATGCCTCTCAAGTTTTTATATTTTTTAAACAGGTGTTGGAGAGTGACATGGCCAAGTAAAAATGAAAAAGAGCAATTTAAAGATGCTAATGAGGTTTGTTAAAATTTAAATTCCTTTTTTTCATAAGGGCAAATTACAGGAAAAAAAAACTATATTTTGGGCAATTTTGTGGTTTATAACCACTTATACTTTATTTTTTTCCTATCAAACCATAAAAGATTCAAACATTTTTCCAATCTAACTACTTTGACCTAATATAACAGGTCAACATGGTTAATTAATTAATTAATATGGAAAAATGCCTGAAATTTTATGGTTTGATTGGAAAAAAAAAATAAACTATTAGTGGTTAAACCACAAAAGTGTCTAAAATATAATGTTATTTTTGTAATTCTACTTTTTTCAACCACTAAAAAACAAAATTTTCAGTTACCCATTTTTGAAAAAAAAAGTCAACTCTAAACTCCAAACCCTAAACCCTAATTATTATGACTCTTGTTATTACAATTGATGAATCTTTTATCAGGTTCTGATGTTCATGGGTCCAGCTGTATTAAGAGGAGTTATTGAAAATGCAGAATTATATCCAATTAAAGGTTTATTTAATTTTAGAGATTATTTTGGTGAAATTGATGCATATTATCATCAAACCCTTGGTAATGAGCTTGGAATTTCAACTGGATGGAAGGCTTTAGATGATTTATATAATGTAAGTTTACACACACTTTATATTTTTAATTTTTTTTTTCTTATTGGGATATTGTGCTTTGAAAAATCTACCTATTTATAAGTAAATAAATATATGAAAGTACGTTGCTATTTATTGTATGATGTTTTTGTTGACTGTTGACTGTTGACCAGGTTGTTCCTGGAGAGTTGACTTTAGTCACTGGAGTCCCGAATTCAGGAAAGAGTGAGTGGATTGATGCATTGTTATGTAATCTTAATGAAAATGTTGGTTGGAAATTTGCACTTTGCTCTATGGAGAATAAGGTGAGATTTTATTATGTTTAATTTTTTACTTTTAAATTAAAAAAAATTCATTCTCTATACTTTTACATTTACATATAATATGAAAGTATAGACAAAACTTCATAAATGGTCCTTGTGGTTTTTCAAAATCTGGGAGATAGTCCCTAATGTTAAAAAACTTCATGGAAAGTCCCTGTGGTTTCCAATTTATATCATGGTTGCTCCCTCGCCCACCTAAAAAGACTTTTATACCCTTTTCATTTCTTTTTTATAATTAATTTTAACTAAACCTATGTAAAAGAGTAAAGAAAAACACAATAAATAGTGGGGCCCACATTTCTCTCTTGTATTTATTGTGTTTTTTCTTTATTCTTTTAGATAGGTTTAGTTAAAGTTAATTGTAAAAAGAAATGAAAAGGGTATAAAAGTCTTTTTAGGTGGGTGAGGGACCAACCATGATATAAATTGAAACCACATGGACTTTCCATGAAGTTTTTTAACGTTAAGAATTTTGAAAAACCACAGGGACCATTTATGAAGTTTTGTCAAAATTATATGACCATTCCTACATTCAAACTAAACTTGATAACTTATGCAATGATGCATGCATGACTGAAATATGAATTAATGATTATATAAATTATACAAATATTGATTATTGATAGGTGGTGTTGAAGTGTTCTAATTTTTATGTTTTCTTTCTACTTTTATTAGGTTAGAGAGCATGCAAGGAAACTTCTTGAAAAGCACGTGAAGAAGCCATTCTTTGATGTGAGGTTAGCTAAGTTTTAACCTTTTCTAAAGTTATTTATGAAGCTTTTTTAGATGTTAATGTTCTTTTGTTTATTTTTCTAATATTTCTTTATTGCAAATAATAATCACAGGTATGGAAAATCTGTTGAAAGAATGAATTTGGAGGATTTGGAGTTAGGAAAAAAATGGTTGAGTGATACTTTTCATCTCATAAGGTGAGATTCCAACTTCCAAGAAATATCAACCTTCTTTCATATATCATATATGTATTTATTATATCATCCTACTTTCGTTTTGTCGTATTACAACATTATACTTTAAAAAACCCACCCAATTATAGCAATGTGATCAAAATACAAAGCAAACTTCATTGCTATAATTAGATAGATTTTTCAAAGTCCTAAAAAGTTTAAGGATGTAATAGGTGTGAGAACGATTGCCTACCAAGTATTGAATGGGTCCTTCGCCTTGCAAAAGCAGCAGTCCTTAGACACGGTGTCAATGGACTTGTGATCGATCCATATAATGAACTTGATCACCAACGACCTCCCAACCAGTAAGTTTATTTATAAATCAATATATCAAAAAAAAATATGATATTTTTCTGATGCATTGTCACGTAGGACATGTCAGATAGTTAGAAAGAACAGGTTGTACTGCGTTTGACATCCAATGGACTGGGACGGAGACCGATGTCAATGGGAGAGCAAAAATTGTAGTTTTTCGTCCCACACAAAAAAGTGGGACACAGATGCGCTCTTGATCTTTCGTGTGTGTAAAAAGACGTAAATGCCCTTCTTATCCTCATCATTGAAAGTAGCCTTAGAAAGCTTGTCGAGTCATGTGTAACAAACGCAGCCTACGGCTGCGTTTGTTAAATAAAACAGGACATGACTAGACAAGCTTTCTACGGCTATTTTCAATGATGAGGATAAGAAGGGCATTTACGTCTTTTTACACACACGAAAGATCAAGAGCGCATCTGTGTCCCACTTTTTTGTGTGGGACGAAAAACTACAATTTTTGCTCTCCCATTGACATCGGTCTCCGTCCCAGTCCATTGGATGTCAAACGCAGTACAACCTGTTCAGACTCATGATACTTGAGATGTTAATAGTTATTAGTTATTACAGATTAATCATTTGTTTTTTTTATTTTGTGTGTAAAACAGGACTGAAACAGAATATGTAAGTCAAATGCTGACAAGTATCAAACGGTTTGCTCAACACCATTCATGCCATGTTTGGTTTGTGGCACATCCTAGACAGGTTAGCATTTGGAATCTCTGATTCCATTCCGTGGCATGCAATGTAATTCCATTCCTTCCAAAAACATTCTGCAAACGAAACACCCGATGAATCTTTTCTTTTTTCTAGATCTAACTTGTGAAATTTGTTCAATAGTTGCAACAATGGAATGGAAAACCTCCAAATCTTTATGATATTAGTGGAAGTGCACATTTTATAAACAAATGTGACACTGGAATTGTTATTCATCGGAATCGGGATCCAGAGGCAGGTCCAATGGATCGAGTGCAGGTACTATGATATTTATAAATTAATATTTTTCTTTTTATTAAATATGCATTATTTTTTTACTTTATTTTTGTTGAATTCTTTTTAGATTTGCGTGCGAAAGGTACGAAATAAAGTCTCGGGAACAATAGGTGATGCATACTTGAAATATAATAGGTATGTTGCTTTTAATTTCTATTTACATTTTTAATAAATTATCTCTAATTTCACCGGCTTTCTTGAACAAAAAAATAAAGGGCAGATTTGTAAAAAGCTATAGCTTATAGAGAATGTCTCCTTTCACTGGCTTTCTTTATTAAGTCTTTCTTTATGCATTAAGTCAAAAACAAACATCTATTTTCTTGTTTTTTTCTTCATTAAACATATTTTTTGGTGCGGAAAATATTATAAAATTTGTTGAATTTATTGCTGCAGAGTAACTGGTGAATATTTGGACATCATGGAGACAATGAACAGGAACTGAAGGCCTTTTGTTCTAATTCTAATCCATCTTTTTTGTTTTACTTTTATGTATTTTTTTTTAAAACTTTGTAAGAATAGTAATTTGATGATTATCATGTGCAAATATGTTGAAAGACATTGAATTTATATATATAAATCTTGATTTGTATATTAATGTCTATCATATTTGGTCAATTTACATCGTTGTTGACTCCAAACACATATGGGTGCGTTTGGTCTTTGTTTTTAAAAAGGGTATTTTGGTCTTTTAATGTAAAAAAGAGATTAAACTCATTCAACTTATCCAAACATGTAATGGAATAGAATCTTGGATTCTATTCCGTTGGCATCCAAGAATCAAATAGACGAAGGGAAACATGAAATCCACAAGAAATATACACCATTTGAGATTTGCATAGAAATATACTTAAAGAAATAAAAGAAATTGTAAGTGAAGAATACTTCAGGGGCTATTTATGTAATTCTCACAAACAATTACAATCTTTTAACAAATCGACCGATGTCATGTACATTGTACAGTTACAACTATCCGGTTAACCGGTGATTTCAAACTATTTTCAGTTCTTGAGAAGAACTCCACCGAATTATCTTGATATTAACAAAATTGAAAAGGGGGTTTCTACCGATTAGGGATAAAAACAACGCAAGCAAGAATTACCATCATAACGAAGAAGAAATCATCGTCGGAAAACACATGATCTGAACTACAATTTCTTGCAACTTCTGGTGACGGAGTTACCGTTTCATCAAGCGTCGACGCCGGGGGCGGTGGTGAAGCAGGAGGAGCCGGAGGAGCTTCGCCGTACATTGTGTAGTCGAGGATGGCTGCGATACCATGGACGCAGACGGCGGGGTTTTGGTAAATATCAGGTTGCATGATCAAGGAATCATCAATGGTGAAATTGGAAGGGGTATTGTTCGTGATTATGATTGTTTTTGAGGGCAATAGTGTGGGTAATCGAGTTTGGGTTTTGAAGAGTTGAAGCTCCGAGAACGTGAGTCGTTGTGGGAGGATGTGGTAAGGGATGATGAACGGGTCGAAATTGTAGGCGCCGGTGGCGGAGGCGGAGAGGTGGGACAGAGCATCGTTGCCGGGGACAAACATGGTGGCGGTGGTTGGGATGAGTGCGGCGGTGGTGCTAGTGGGGATCGATGAATTTATCTTTGGATTAAAGAGGATATTTGCCCACGCTGCGAAGTCGCCAGCGCCGATTAGGGCGTCGATTATGTTCTTGAGTTGTTGTTGCTGCATATACTCCGGTCGTGTAGGCGGAGGAGGCGGTGATCGTATAGAGATGGTTGGCGGTGGTGGTGGTGGTGAAATTGGTGGATGAGGGATAGGGTGTTGGGGTTGAATCAATGGGGAAGGTCCCGGCGACGGGGAATTTATGGAGGAGAGGTGGCGGGACTTGGTAGAAGTTGTAGTAATAGCAGCGGCCGTAACGGCGGTGGTGTTGAGTGCCGCCACCGCCGTGAAGAGGAGGAATAGAGAAACGTACTTTGACATGACGTAAGCAAGACGGTAATAGGGATTAAGCGTTTGCCGCCCAATCAAGATTCTCATTTGTATTTGTATTTGTATTATACTCGTTTAAATTAGGGCCCCATGTTTTATCACACAAATTGATGCGATATTTGTATCATTTTTAAGATCATAACCATATCATTTTTTTAATCAAAATATGTAATTTTTAATATAAATTCTGATTAATTTATAAGTTATAACATATGGTATTGTTTTTAGAGATAATGTCTTAAAAGAGTAACTTATTTTTCGATTTTTATATATTTAATCACTGAATTTTTTTTTTGTCCTCATTGAACTAGTTGAACCGTTCAAAAAACATCCTTATGACATGTAATCGTAAGTTTAGTTTGTTTTCAACATATTTGACAGTTCCGACGTAATTATGATTTTTCTGACGGTATGAGTTCTTGAATGATACACATTTTTCATATTTTTATTCTCTCCTCTCTCTTTATGTTATTTTCCCTAACAAAGATTAACACAAATCATATATATTCCGGATTCAAATTCATCTTCAAGATCAAGGTTCTGGTTTTAAAAACCCTAACTCGAGTTCATCTTCAAGCTCGTCAAACCTTCAAGCTCGATTTTGAGAAAACCTTCACATGTGAGTGTGTTCATCTTCAAGGAATCCAAACACACACACAAAATCGATTTCTTCTTTGTTCTTGGAAATCGATTTATGGGTTTGAAAACCCTAACTCGACTTAGGGTTATTCCTGAGTTCGATTTTTGGTCTTTGTGTTTTAGGAAAACATATAGAGTAATAGTATGGTTTTATGTCTGTGTTGAAGATCGTGTGTGTGCATGTGTTCATCTGATATGGGGTTCTTGAGTTTATGTGTTCATTAAATCTGATTATGTGTTCATCTGATATTGAAGAAACAACTTATAAAAAAAGATGCAAATGAAGAATGACTTAAAAGGGAGAAAATTGTGGATTGGATCTCATATTTTCTCTCGTTGGTTTGTGTTCATCTGATAGTTGATGAACATGTTGTAGCAGGTAATGATGAAGGGTTGCTTGTATATACAAACCTAGATCCATGAACTTCTGCGTTTTTACAGATGAATACATACAAACATGAACTTCTAGTTTTTTTTATCAAATGAATACATATAAACACACAAGAACAACAACAGACTGGATCATCGCCGAAAAAATCATGAACGCCAGAGTCTTATCGGAGAAGATGACTGGGGCATCGTCGGAGTTGTCAAATATGTTGTACATTGGCTAAACCTATGATTGAAGGTCATAAGGATGTTTTTTGAACGGTTCAACAAGTTCAACGGAAAAATATAGACAAAAAAATTCAGTGACTAAATGTGTGCAAATCAAAAAATAAGTTACCCTTTTTAAGTCACTACCCTTGTTTTTAATACAAGAATGGAAATATTAAGTATTGGGCTTTTTTAACTTATATAGATTTTGGGTGATACCCTTATGTTTATTAGTTTTGTCTAAATCACATTGCGAAAATTACCAATAAGGAAAACATCTCCTCTATTTATGCTTGATAGCTTCATTTTATTTACTTCTTTTTATAGTTTATTTTAGCACATTTCATTCGCATTTTAGTTAATTTCCATGCATATTTTCATTTTTGTTATTTTATGACCATTTCGGGTACTTTCTAGTTTCCTAAGCATAATTGCAGATTTTTTGGAGACTAGCGGAGCGGAATCTACGGGAGGCGATTGGACTTGGAGGACAACGAGGACTTTGGGCTTGATGGCTATGGAGGTGATTCATGGAGTAGGTTTGTCAATTGCTTGAAGACTTGGAAGAATTGAACTTTAAATTTGCAAGGTGCGAAAGAATATTCGAGTGTGCGGAGATTGATGATCGGACGATTTCGGAAGCTATGGATCATTTGGAGAAGGCATATTGGACTCAAATTGAGGAAATCTTGAAGAAAAATGGGCTAGAGGCTGATTAGATTCGAACTGGGCCAATGGAATAGTTGTGGGGGCCCAAGACTTGAAGAAGCCCAAAAATCCGTCACACTCACGCGGCCCGCGTAAGGTTTCTACGCTGCCCGCGTGGATTTTTGAAGGGACAATTTCGGGATTTTGTTTTGAGCTCTATATTGGGAAGGTTGGTGTGCCTCTTTAGCCATATCTTGAACATCCGATTTTGACACATTCTCTTTGGAGGTTTGGAGCACTTTGAAGGTCAAGAACTTCATCGTTTCTCCTATTGATTCTTGTTAAATGTTGGGTACAATCTTTATTAACTTTGTTTTCTTAAGTTTAGCCATGCTTGGCTAGACTAATTGTGGTTGACTTTGGTGGAATCCTTTGACTAATTGTTGAATGTTGAAGACTCCATGAACTTGTGTTTGAATCTTTATGAAAATGTTTTATGTTTTAACATCTTATCATTACTTGTATGTTTTTATTCATGCGTTTAAATGTGTTTGTGGTGATTAGTTGGCTAATTTCTTGATTAAGTAAATGATCTTCAAATTAGCAAGCAACAAGTGATTTTTGTGTTAGTTTTACTTCACACAATCATAAAAACATTTTCTCCAACATGGTAGTGGAAGCTTTTGACTCCTCTTGGATTTGGTGACTTTTAAATTCTTAATGCTAGTTGACTTTCACTAATTACATGCTTAATGGAGTTGGTGACTTTGACTAATGAAATTGTTATGAGCTTCTCTAACCATTTCAACAACTAAGAAAAGTCTAGGTAATCTCAAGCTCCTTGGATTACTATAGCCAAATTAAGGATTTAAAACAAGTATTGCACCATTGGATTCTAATGATATCTTCATCAAAAAGTCAAAGTGAGGAAACCTCAAGTCAACCATCTTTCTCTTATTGATTTTACATCAAACTCTTATTCTTGTCGAAATTGTCCATTTAAATCTTAGTTTAATTCTAGTTTGTTTCAAGTATTTCAAAACACCAAACCCCCCATTTTTAATTTATTGTCATTTTACAAGTATTTTTAGAAAGAGATTTTTCATAGAGTTATTAAATCGAACCAATCTCCGTGGATTCGATCCCTTTACCACTATACACTACTTTAGTGAAAAAGATTTAGGGTTATTAATTTTGTTGGCCTCGACAACCACCAAATTTTGGCGCCGTTGCCGGGGATTGGTTTATTTTTAATCAATTTGTTTCTCTATGCCCAGATCTCAACGTACAGGTGCTTTGATTTATAATCCGGAAATTGAAAAAGAAGCAAGACGTTTGGCGAAGGAAAAGAGAATAGAACGTGGTCAAACTTCTAATCCTCACGGGGACCCGGAGGTTGAACCCGTTTCATCAAGTGACACGGAACCTGATTCTAGTCCCGACCCTCACCAAGAAATTCCCAAAACCCCACCTCTACAACAAAATTCACCCATTATTGAACCAATTGCAATGACGGACGGAGGAGAAGCTCCCGAAAGAACTTTGAGGCAAATGATGGAAACCAATATTACACAAACTCCAACCGGTATCAATTCCCGTTTTGGAAGGAGGTTCGGAATTGAAGTCAAGGTTAGTCCATCACCTTCCAACTTTTCATGGATTAGAGAATGAAGACCCTCATAAGCACTTGAAGATGTTTCACATTATTTGCACTAGTATGAAGCCACAAGGGTCGACCGATGACCAAATCAAGCCAAGGGCATTCCCCTTTCATTGGCCGATAGAGCAAAGGATTGGTTATTCTATCTTCCCTCGGGGTCAATCAACTCATGGACCGACATGGCAAGAGCTTTTCTTGATAAGTTCTATCCTGCTTCAAGAGTCTCAAGTCTTAGAAATGATATTTGTGGAATCCGCCAAGGTCAAAATGAGACTTTTCATGATTATTGGGAGAGGTTCAACAACTTGTGCTATAGTTGTCCACAACATCAGATTTCGGAACAACTCCTCATTCAACACTTCTACGAGGGATTGTTACCAATGGAGAGAAGAGTATTTGATGCCTCAAGTGGTGGTGACGTCTTTAGTAAAACTCCACAACAAAAAGACAACTTTTCAACACCATAGCCGTGAATTCCCAACATTTTGGCCCACACCAAGATATGAAGAGAGAGACACAACATAAAGTCAATGAAGTGGGAACATCAAATCTCGAGTCTCAAATCAAAGATTTAACCTCCGTTGTCTAAAAGTTAGCTATGGGACAAACTCCACAAGTGATGGTTTGTGGAATATGTGCAACAATGGGACATCCTACGGATATGTGTCCCATTCTTCAAGAAGATGCGGAACATGTAAACGCGACGGGAGAGTTCCAAAATTACCACAACAAGCCATCCGGTTACCAAAATGCTTACAATTCAAGTTGGAAGCCAAATCCCAATATAAGCTACAACCCAAAACCATTGCCTCAAAATGCATTGGTAAGACCTTCCTACCCACCACAACAATCTCATTACCAACATTCACAACCACACTATCAACCCAAATTGCACCCTCCACATCATCATCAACAACCTCCTCAATCCCAACCGAGTAGCTTCGGAATGTCTCTTGAAGACATTGTCAAATCCTTAGCCACTAGTACCCAACAATTCCAAAAAGAAACAAGGAATAGTATCTCCGACCTTGAAGCACAAATGGGAGATATAGTTACATCCATAAGAAAGTTGGAGTCCCGTGGAAAGTTTCCTTCTCAAACCAAAAAGAACCCAAATGTCAATGTGGTGACCTTGAGAAGTGGCAAACAAATTGGAGAGAGTAGTTAAAAGAATAAGCCAAGGGATGAAGAGGAAGAAATAGAAGTCATTCCCATTGAAGAACATATAGTCAAGAACGATACACAAGCCGGAGTTCCAAAGAAGACTATTCCCCTCGTAACACCAATAGCCACTCAACCGCCATTCCCCTCCCGACTTGCGACTTCGAAGAAGAACATAGAGGAGAAAGAGATTTTGGACACCTTTCGAAAGGTAGAAGTAAACATCCCTCTACTTGATGCAATCAAGCAAATCCCTAGATATGCAAAGTTTTTGAAAGAACTTTGTACCAACAAGAGGAAATTGAAGGGAAATGAGAAAATCTCAATGAATGAAAATGCATTC